TCCTCTCCGACTCCGTCGGGACCTCAACCAGCCCCGCCAGAGCTCCCTCGCCGTCACCAACCCCAGCTCCTGAACAATGTCTCGGACTTCTGTCCATAGTTCTTCTGGGACTCTGTTTACTAAATCTAGTCCTTCAAATCTGTTCTTCACTTCCACTGTATATTCGCTAGGAATGTTAGTGAGATCATATCTAACTGGTCTGTGTATTTTCCCTGATCTCTTTAGTTTTATTTTAAATTGGGCAATAAGAAGTTCGTGATCTGAGCTACAGTCAGCCCCAGGTCTTGTTTTCACCGACTGGATGGATGTCCGCCACCTTTGGCTGCAAAGGATGTAGTCAATCTGATTTTGGTGCTGACCATCTGGTGAGGTCCATGTATAAAGCCGTCTTTTAGGTTGTTGGAAGAGAGTGTTCGTTATACACAGCGAGTTTTCCTGGCAAAATTCTATCAGCCTGCGTCCCGCTTCATTTTGTTCTCCCAGACCATGCTTGCCTGTGATCCCAGTTGTCATTTGACTTCCCACCTTGGCATTCCAGTCTCCTGTAATGAAAATAATGTCTCTTTTTGGTGTATTATCCAGTAGGTCCTGCAGATCCTCATAGAAGTGATCTACTTCTGCTTCTTCAGCAGCTGTGGTTGGGGCGTATATTTGGATCACTGTGATGTTGAAAGGCTTTCCTTGCACTCGAATTGAGATCATTCTGTCATTTTTTGGGTTGTATCCAAGCACTGCTTTAGCGAATTTCTTATTAATTATGAAGGCTACTCCATTACAACTGTAATACAACTGTATTACTTAATAGTTATTCCTTGATAGTTATGAAGGACCTGAACTCAGATATAATACTACAACAATAAAACTTTGTTTATATAGCCCAAGGGGACTCAGAGCGCTTTCCAAGTAACACCATCAATATATTCAAAGAAAACAGCATAAATATAAAATTAACAAGACAATATAAACATAAAAAATCACAATAGTACATATACGTTTAAAATAATCCTCCCTGTTCAAGGCAATTTAAAAGTCCGGGCCGAGGCTAGTGCAATTTGTTAAAGGGCCTGGGAAATTAGGTAGAGTCTAATTACCGGGGCCTAATAGGAGGAAGTAACCTGCGTAATTGGTAGAAAAAGATATGGCCATGTTCAACAGTATCTGAGGCTGAGCTAGAACTAGTCATTCTCAAAGGCTTGTGTAAACCACCAGGTCTTCAGGCTCTTACGAAAGGAGGGGAGGGATGGGGCCTGTCTTATTTCTCTAGGAAGGGCGTTCCAGAGGCGGCGGGGGGGCATCACTGAGAAGGCCCTCTCTCTTGTCCCCACCAACCATGCTTGTGACAGTGGTGGGAGCGAAAGGAGGGCCTCCCCGGAAGATCTTAAAGTTCGCGTCACTTCATAGAGGGAGATGCAATTGCGAAGATAGACGGGGCCCGAACCGTTTACGGCTTTATAGGTCATAACCTGCATCTTGAATTAATACTAATGATGAATAAAGAGAATTAAAACCTTCAAGCATTCAAAACCTTATACGAAAGGTTTTTGCTGCCAATGGCCTTGATAACATCACTTTGGAGTCTAGCAATTGACTTTTTTGGTTTATTCTAAAAGAAGCATTCCTCACCTGCCCTTGCCAGTCAGAAGTATTGACTAAAATGATATTTTCTGGAAGCTTGTCATCTGAGATCAAAATGTGATTCAGCTGGTCATAGACGGTTTTTCTAGGAATCTGTAAATACAAAACAGAATAGGATAATGCAGGGGTAATTGACTGCTCCTTTCTTCATGATGAAGTTATACCAAATGAGAAAAAGTGAAAGAGTTGGACAATGAAAGACACAACTCACCTGTAAGTGGTGCCTGGTGTCTGGAGAACGCTCATTGTCCAGACTATTGGCCCTCTCATTCTGCTGCTTTGCTGGCTGTCTTTCCTTCAGTGATGTGCTTCTACCTCTGCGACCCACTTGTTTCCCCTCTAACCTGCTAAGAGACAGTATTATGCATGCTTCACATGAAAATGAAAAAAGCACAGACAGTGCTCACTGTACTGCAACATAATTGATCCCAGAAAGAAATAGAGAGAAAGCAGTATTACAGAACTTTCCTCTTTCCATTTACTCACATACTGACTTTTTTTTTATCAATGATGAAGGCGATTTACAAAATTTCAAACAACTATACATATATACAAAACAAGAAGCAAGCAAAAGGACAATTGAGGGTACATCTATACTGTAGAATCAATGCAGTTTGACACCAGTTTAATTGCCATGCTATGCTATGAAATCATGAGCTGTAGCTTTACAAAATCTTTAGCTTTCTCTGACAAAGAGTGCTGGTGCCTCACCAAATTACAACAGTGAGTCATGGAACCTAAGTGTTGGAATTGTGCCTGGGTCTTTGTCGCTGCCGTTTCTCTTGTTGGGTCCTGGAACTACAGGTTGCTGCTTTCTCCGTTTATCGACTGGCTTTGGATTCCTGTAAGTGCTGACTTCCCCTCTTCTTGACTTTGGACTGCCTGGACAACGACACTGATTTTTTGGACTCTAATATCTTTGACTTCGGACTGTTTTTGGACTACGGCTTTGTGTTCTTCCACCTTGCATACTTGCAAACCTTGAACTCTGTGACTCTGGAGCGTTTTGCTCACTCCTTTGTTTATCCCAGATTATATGCCGGTTTAATCCGGATTATTTGCCAAGTTAAGTTTTTGCCTTGCAAACTGCTTGAAACCTTTTGTTTTGGCCAGGGACACTGAAGTAAGTGTCCCTGAGTCCTTTTTGTTGCCTTAATAAACTTCGTTTGGGCTTTATCACTGTGTCTGGCTCTTTAAAGGCGTCTGGATCCTGACATGTATATTCCAAGAAGTGAGGAAGACAGCTCATAAATACTTTCATTGAAAGCACCAAAAACCCTTAATGATTTTTTGAATCCAAAAGTGTCCTCCTCAAGGATTCACTTTTGGATTTTAGATTATGGAGTCTATCTTCTCTGCCTTTTTATTAATACTTTCCTCAAAATGAAACACACAAAATATTGTTGTTGTGAAAAGTTAATACAGAAATTAGGTCTTGATTGAGTTTAGGGTTGCTACATACATCAGATTCAATGTTCTGTTCCTGAGGGCTACCTTTATCTAATCTTCCCCAACTGCATCTCCCACTGCAGCCTCTCATACACATTCAGACCTTTTCCTAAGGTCCCTCAATCCCCCAGAACAGACTTTTCAGGGGTCAGAGAGGAATTCTGGTGAGCTGGGAATCCTCTTCCCTCATAACTACATGCCCTTCCCCTCCCAAGGCACTGGATCCAACTACAGTTTCAGTAGTTAGACATTAGAGTTGTACCACATAAATGTAAACCTCTTCAAACTGGCTTCAGAAAGTTTTAGAAATTGCATTTGGTCCAGACCAGTAGTTCTTAACCTGTGGATCCCCAGAGGTTTTGGCCTTCAACTCCCCCAAATCCTATCATCTAGTAAACCGGTTTGGGATTTCTGGGAGTTGCAGGCCAAAACACCTGGGGACCTACAGATTGAGAACCACTGGAAGCCAGGATGTTAATTAAACTGACTTGAGGAAAACATATTCTAACTGTTCAAGAAGTTAAAATATTTTCCTACTAAATTCCAATTTTAAGTGTTTTCATATTTGACCTGGGATCAAAGAGTCTTTACATACTACCTACTCCCTCTTACATATACATTCCCTTCCTTTCAGAGAATCTGAGCAGATCTTTGCTGAGGAGATAATAGCTTGAAACAGTTATGGGGCCTTCTTAAAGTAAGTCTGTTTATCAGAGAATCCCACCCCTACAGAAGTCTACCTCATAAAGCTACTTCCCACTATCTAGATTAAAATCTCCACATATTTTATGTTTGCATGCAAGAACAAATAATTGTAAAATGCTTTGAGTGTGAAATTACTAGAGGTTTTGCACATATTCAAATGCTTTTTTAACATTTTTGAGCTCTGCTGCAAATTTTTTACAGCTTTTGCACAAGTAAAATATTATTTTTATAGAAAAAAAACCACTTGCATCTATTTCACAAAAAGTTGCAAAATGTGATTTTTTTTGCAGAAATTGGCTTTTTAAAAAGTGAGATCTTAAAAAAAGCCAACTTCTGCAAAAAAATTCACATTTTACAACTTTTTGTGATATAGTTGTAAGTGGTTTTTTTCTACAAAAATATTTTACTTGTGCAAAAGCCCTCTGTGAAAATTTTGCAGCAGAGCTCCAAAATGTTAAAAAGAATCTGAATATGTGCAAAACCTCTAGTAATTTCATACTCAAAGCATTTTAAAATTACTAGATGTTTTGCACATATTCAAAAGTGAGATCAAACAAGACACTCTCATCAAGGATAAGAAAAACTGTGATATTTCTGAACTTCTCTACCAAGTGATTTGGGCAACAAAATAAGAAGTGGCATTGTTTTGTATGACCAAACAACAGAATTAAATTTATAGTTTCATGTATCTGTCTGTTAAAAAGAAAGAAAAACAAAAATGTCACAGGTCAATTGGCATCTGACTAATTATTTCTACATGGTTTTGGCAAATGCTGTTCTTTCCTTTCTGTATTGGCAAAACTCTATATTAAGGTGGTGCAATGGGTTAAACCCTTGTGCTGACAGGACTGCTGACTGAAAGGTTGGCGGTTTGAATCTGGGGAGGGGGTGAGCTCTCGTCAGTCAGCTCCAGCTTCAAATGTGGAGCCATGAGAGAAGCCTCCCACAGGATGGTAAAATATCTGGGTGTCCCCTAGGCAACGTCCTTGCAGATAGCCAATTCTCTAACACCTGAAGTGACTTGCAGTTTCTTAAGTAGCTCCTGACATGAAAAAAGAAAACCTTAATATTTTTAGAAGAAGAGGTTTAAAAAGCAGGTTAGTCATCAGGGTGCATAACTGGGAGTTATATAACACCTGAACCAAAACACTAGGATTGTCATATGGGGGCAAAAAAATACTTAGCTTTGTATTGGAAACTGTTCAAACAGAACTGAGTTGCCACAAACCAAAATATAGGAGTAACCTGTTTCTAGTAGGGCTGGGCGGTTTCGTTTCGTTAATTCGTAATTCGTTAATAATTCGTTAATTTTTTTCAATTACAAAACGATAACGAACCATTCTGGAGCAATTTTTAAAAAAAACGAATTTTAAAAACGTTTTGTAAATGCTTCGTATTTCGATATTGTATTCGTTTCGTTATTTTGAGGTCGTTTCGTTATTATTTCCGCATGTCTGGGCCAGTTTTATGGTTTAATTAGTGAAAAAAAATTATAATATCACACCAACAGTCAACAACAGAGGGAGAGGGAAGCTTCAGAAGGTTTCGGAGGTTTTTTAGCGTATTTCGCGGTCGCGTCCGCCATTAACGAATCGATTCGTTATTGTTTCGGAAATCGATTCGTTAATTTTTTACCATTTACGAAATTTCGTAAATATCGAACTTTTTAAAAGGAAAATTTTGTAATTATTTTAAATATCGAAACAAAAAAAAAACCCCAAATACAAATCTATTTTAGAAACAAATTTTTCCGTTGTTACCCAGGCCTAGTTTCTAGGCAAGAGACAAATGCTAGTTGCTACAGTTTGTAAGCATGTTACCTGCTGGAAGAAATTATGAGAGATTCTGTCTTTGTCATTCTGCCACATGGTGGTAGTTTCTCAATAAAGATATCCAGAGAGGCTAGTTCTGCATCCGGGCTCTCCTCTTCTTGTTGAGTCTTCTAATTTGTACATTATGAAAAATACATGAGATAAAACATTCTGTACAAGGAAGATTGTTTTTGTCTTTTTCCAGCAAATGTAACCATCAGGAAACAAATTATATTCCTTTAAAAGATTGAAAAGCAAAGGTTTATTCATTAAATGTCAGAGTACATGTTTAGGGTGCAGATGGTCCAAGATACAATCACAGCTTTTCCAGCTGGGACTGAAATCCCCCAAAATGTTGCTATCCTGTGTAGACTAGCTGAAAGGAGTAACAGACTAACTCAGGGGTCCTCAAACTTTTTAAACAGAAAATCAGTCCCTCAAACTGTTGGAGGGCCAGATTATAATTTGAAAAAAAATGAATGAATTCCTATGCACACTGCACATATCTTATTTGTAGTGCAATTAACACATAAAAACGATACAATAATTAACATGAAGACCAATTTTAACAAATATAAACTTAATAGTATTTCAATGGGAAGTGTGAGCCTCCTTTTGGTTGATGAGATAGGATTGTTGTTGTTGTGTGCTTTCAAGTCGCTTCAGACTTAGGTTGACCCTGAGCGAGGGCCGGATAAATGACCTTGGAGGGCCGGATCCGGCCCTCGGGCCTTAGTTTGAGGACCCCTGGTCTAACTAATGCACTTTCCTAGAATTATCCATCCATGATAATAACCAGAGCACCTGATTCTAGGTAAGTGTCACTATAGTACACACTGTCACTATAGTTCTATCCTAAGTAGTATCCGGAAGCTACAAAGCTTTGCAGGACCTTGAAGAGGCAGCCCAGCTTGAATAAATGTGACATTTCCAGACTGACCAGCATTTCTGCAGTAATCAACATGCATAAAGAGTCTATACCAGGTCTCATACATCATAAATACATTTTACATTTTACATGGTGACGTGCAGAAAAAGGGACTTGGAAGAAGCAAGTATCTTCAGCCAATCCAAGCACTGGAATTTGACTGGAAAAAATCTGAAAGGAACAATTGTACTTACACAGCACACAGTGTCAGGAACATTATCTGTTGGCTGTTTACTTCCAAGATTCTTATTATTTTCAGGCACTTCTGCCTGTTTTGAATAAGAAGAAGCAACATAAGAAGTTGAACATCTCATTTGTTTTTGGACAAGCTAGTTCTGAGAAACATCGTCATGATGCCACATCGATGCAAGATCAACAAAGTTAATGTAATGGAAATGGAGTCACTCTCAATCTTTTCATACAATTTGAAAAAAAATACGTAACACCTTGTTTTTACCAATGTTGATTTTCTTTAAAATTCAGACTACCTGTGTCATTCATGTAATATACTTGATACAGTACATTGTATGGTATGGCTTTCCCTCAAATTCTAGGGTTTGCCTAACACCTTAATCCTCTGCTTTAATAAGGGTGCCCCTAAACAAATGTGTGAAGATATTTTAAAAATAATTAACAAAATTTAATATCTACTACATCAAGCCAGCTTTCAAAAATCATAACAAAAAATATCTGAATTAATGCCACAGTGTATGTTTGTTTGTTTGTTGGGAACATCACTCATGCTTTTAAAATTCCAAGCATGCTCACAAATCAGTTAACACCAACAGGAAAAATAAAGCACTGCCTATGTCAATCATCTTAGTTTGTTTGCCGAACCAAATGGCTTTATCTCAATAACACACTCATTTACTATCGAATAGCAGCTTTAATGTCAGTCAAGTCATAGATTTGAGAACAAAGTAAACATATGTTGAAATTTAATCTCTGGGAGGCTTGTAAATCTGCTGCATATTCTATGTAGCACGGCTTTTCGCACAAGTGGAAGGGGACAAAATTTACTCCAGGTAAACTTCCCTGGAATGTTTACACTGAGATTGCTGCACTTTGCGGACATATCATGAAAATACATGACTCACTAGAAAACACAATAATGCTTTGCAAGAAGGAACGCAGTAGGAAAAGAAGATCACACCACAGATTGATACTCAGTCAAGGAAGCCATATTCCCGAATTTATAATTTTGGAGTAGGGTTGCTGATGACAGCGTGATTTGGGGGTCTTTTACTGATAGGGTCACCTTAAGTTGAAGTTGATTTTGATGTCAGTTAACCACATAATTTACACAGTTTAAACTAAAAATGCCTGACATTTACTTTTAAAATCCTCAGCCTTCTATATAAATAAAAAATTAATGTCTAATGTATTGTCGAAGGCTTTCATGGCTGGAATCACTCAGTTCTTGTGGGTTTTTTCGGGCTATATGGCCATGTTCTAGAGGCATTTCTCCTGACGTTTCGCCTGCATCTATGGCAAGCATCCTCAGAGGTGAGGTCTGCTGGAACTGGGAAAAAAAGGGGTTTATATATCTGTGGAATGACCAGGGTGAGACAAAGGGCTTTTGTAAGTTGGGCTAGGTGTGAATCTTTCAACTGACCACCTTGATTAGCATACAATGGGCTGACTGTGCCTGGAGCAAACTCTTCTTGAAGGTGATTAGATGTCCCTGCCTGTTTTTCTCCCTGCTGTTTTTGCTGTTGCAAAATTGTGGTGGTGCCTGCCCAGTAGAAAGATTCACACCCAGCCCAACCTACAAAAGCCCCTTTGTCTCACCCTGGTCATTCCACAGATATATAAACCCCTTTTTCCCAGTTCCAGCAGACCTCACCTCTGAGGATGCTTGCCATAGATGCAGGCGAAACGTCAGGAGAAATGCCTCTAGAACATGGCCATATAGCCCGAAAAAACCCACAAAAATAATGCTCGTTTGTGGGATTAACATAACTCAAAAACCACTGGACGAATTGACACCAAATTTAGAAACAATAACCAGGCCAACAAGTGACCATCACTCATAAAAACACTGAAACACACAGCAGAAGATACTTTAAAAGCCAAAACAACAACAACAACACATGCATATGCCCCATATATATATGCAAATATATATAAACATAAAACACACATACACAGACTGGGCCACAGCAGGGGATGGATAGTTATAAATAAAGAACAAATCCATATGTCTGCAGAACTGCAGATGGTTTCATAGGTGTTGCAATCCATTTAAAATTAACTTTACCATCAACAGCTTTTAGGTATTTTTTTAGATATAAATCAATATTATTTTCAAGGCATAACTTACAGGACTGGGTGGCTCTTTCTGGCTTTTGACGCTCTGGAGGCTCCCAACTTCAGTTTGAGAGCTTGAATGCGACAAGCCTTCAAAGTAAGGTCTACAGGAAGAATACAAAAAATACTGTAATCATAAAGGAGTCCCAAAACACACCCACAACTACAGCTTCCAGAAGTTGTATACATACGATACCATCAAGATGACACTAGAGGAAAATCTGACAAAAAGATTAAAATTAATCAACACCCTAAATTATCTTATTTTCACTACCAAAAGCAACACACTGCTTGACTGTTCTCATTTGAAGTGAAAGAGTCTAAATAAACCACGGTGTTTTACTTCACATTTGGTTTACTGCCCAATTTAGAAGTGGATACCCAGAACACAACAAAAAAAACCCTGTTGCCTACCATCACCCAATAATACTCTTATTCTGATAGACAATGACTCATGTCAGAATTTAAATCCAACATTTCTAAGAGTACAATAGTCAGACAACAAAGCAAAAGAAAGAAAGAAAGAAAGAAAGAAAGAAAGAAAGAAAGAAAGAAAGAAGAAAAAGACGAGCCTAAACTATAAATGACTACAGACCGACTGAATTGATCAATGTTCAGAAATCTAGAGCTTCCCTGGATATTCTCTTTATCAAACGTTGCTAATGAAATGTGAGAAGCTCTTTCTGGGGCCCTTCCACACAGGCCTATATCCCAGAATATCATGCCAGAGAATCCCACAATATCAGTTTTGAACTGGGTTATCTGAGTCCACACTTAGATAATGTGGGATTTTCTGCCTTGATATTCTGGGATAAACGGCTGTATGGAAAGGCCCTAACTCTCACTCTGTTGCGCTAGCATCTCCAACCCTAAAAACTGAAGAATGGTCAAAGCTGCCCTTTGAAATCAAATTCTCTTACTTTAGTTTTGGTTTAGGAGTACTGAGGACACTGTCATCATCTTCCATGTCAGGACCACTGTCGCTGGGATTTTCCATATCAAGTGTGTCATAGAGAAGGTCTAGATCTTCTTCTACTTCTTGGACGTGATCGGCTGGATCTTGCTCAGAATCTAAAACCTAGATGCAACAGACAGTTCAACAGGTAAGAAATAGTGGGATGGGACTGTGGAGGATGCCGAGGAAGGAAAGCACTGCCTCAGATTCCTTAGGGTCCAAGCAATTTTCTAAACTTATCAAGCAATAGTACTGTTCCACTGAATTCAAGGAAGATTGCATCTAATATTTGGAAGCCACTTTTCACAGAACAGAAGAGACAAAAGAGTATGAATTGAGGAGGCAAATCAGGCACCACAATGCTAAATAGTCTAGAAAAAAGAAAATATTTAGTGAACAAAATGGGTGAAAAGTCTACGGGGAAAAAACATTTCAAAGTTTTAAAAAACCCTGAAAGGTTGAAAAGACAGTAAACTTTTTTCGAAAAGACAAAGTAAACTTAAGCATAGAAGACTTGCAAATTATAGGGAAAGCTTTTGAAAAGAACGTATTTTTTCTTAGGAGATCAAGAGACTAGGCAGGTTGTAGACCAGGGAGAGGCTCATCATAGTCATCATGATCATAATAATCAATTTATTGCTCACCTCTCCTTATGGCTCAAGGAGTTAAAAAAACACTATTAAAATGCATAAAATAAATAAATTTGTTAAATGGCAGTTGCATTGTATTGATCACTCACATTATGCAAAAGAAAGGTGTGACTCAACGGAAACCTCCCCTATTCTCATTTAAGAGAAATGTAATTATAGAAGGTTGTCCTGTTGGTCATTTGCAATAATGTTATTATCAATGTGTCAGTGGAAGACTAGCATGGCTTCATGTGGAAAATGAAACTACTTTAAGTAGCCCACGTTGAATACTTCAACCATTTCAAAACAAATGCACTGATGTTTGCCATATATATGTTGTGTTCTGCCCTGAGTCCCCTGCGGGGTGAGAAGGGTGGAATATAAATGTTTTAAATAAAATAAGTATAGAACACCTTACTGCTATCAGTGTGACAGGTTACACAAAACCCTAACACATGTAAAGGGAGATTACCTCATCAGTTACTTTAAACCGTCTCAGTAATGCCACCACTTTTTGCTTGAAGTTTTGTTGCTGTAAATGTAAATACCATATATAAATGAAAAATAAATCAGTAAAAAGCAAAACAGTAAAATGTAAGAGAGAACAAACTGTTCCACGTTATGAAGCATATATGGCTACAATACATCAGGGTTTGTACCTTTAATGAGACTGGGTCTAATTTATGCCCAGCAATCCTGCACGACTGAGGGCCTAGAGCCATACAGAGAGAGAAATAGACCTCTCTTGATACAATCTTCTCAGCAGCTTTTCAACAGAGTAAAATTAGAATAATAGAATCACAGAGTTGGGCCATCTAGTTCTTTGATTGTATATTTCTGCAAGACGGCCCACCATGCAGAAATACATAATTAAAGGCCTCTCAACAGAAATTAATTCATTACTGATTGGCATTATCACTATTTTTGAAGCGAGATCAGACGGTTCCATTCAATCCCAATCCCCAGTCATATAATTTCATCCATGTTAATATGTCTATGCCTTTAGGGACTATGAAACAGAACTTTGTGGTTATATGAGCACATCATAACCCACACTGCTGGACTCAAATGGCCTTGATAAGATAGAGGCGTGCTGGACCCTCCCCTGCCCCACTGGCTTGAGCACTAGCCTTGTACATGGTGGGTTTGGGTTGAAAAGTTCCTTCTGATGAGAACTAGACAAAGGGAGGGTGCAGGGCAGAGGATATGAACCATGATGTGAAATTGCCTGATTGTCTTTCAACCAATTGAGACTGACAATGATGGAGTAATGCCCCAAAAGGGTGGCACAGCCCTGTGAAACTATAAAGGCAAATGTACTGTCACCGCTCAGGGTCCCTCTGTTTGGAGCCACCCCTGGGAGCTCCAGTTCTCTTTTTTTAATTATGTCATTTTCGTTTTTCAAAGTAAAGCTTTCTTTCTGAGAGCAAGAAACACCTGTTACTTTGCCGATCATGTCTCTAAAGCTGCACCATTATATTAGTTGGTTAGCCATCCTCAACATAAAGCCACAGAATCATTTATCCCTTCAACTCACCTGGTTTACCCCCTTAGCACAAAGGCCAGATTATGTTTTGCATTTCAATGCCAAGGCTGAAGCCAGTAAACACTGAAAATGAAGCTGTCTCCAATCAACATATTTCTGTAACATATTTATAAAGAAACCAGGAATCATCAATATCACTAATATTAATGATTGTATCCAGATTGATGTGAGCAAAATGGATTTGGATGTGCCTAACTTTCCAGTCTACAAGGTACTACAAGCAAAAGAGACCTCAGAAATTTGGTGTGTGGGCATCTGTTTTGGGCTCGTACAGATAGACAGGGGTACAACTTTAAGAGCCCAAATTGTTGTTGTTTATTTCTACCCTGTTTTTTTTCTCCAAAAGGAGACTCAAAGTAGCTAAATAGATGCCTATGACAACCAACAAACTTCCGAGGTCTGTTTTGCTTGTGCTCCTTTGTAGATGCCTGTCCCCAGAGCCAAGGCTTTATTGAGTACGCGCATCAAAATCAGTTATAAGATCTGTGGCTTGTAAGTCAGTCTAGAACAGTGGTTCCTAACCTTTTTTTGACCAGGGATCACTTGACCAGGGACCACTCTCCAACATCAGTACCAAAAGGGTTACGAATCAGTTTTTGGACAACTTTACATTCGGTTTGGTGATTTGGTGTGCTGATTCAGAAAATTGCATTGGATAGACTGCATCAGCTCTAGTTTCTGATACAGAACATATGCCATCCAGTAGTCACCATCTGCTCACCCATAGAAAACCATATTTAATAAGCCTCAGCACTATAAAAGGGTTTCGCGAGACCAGTTGCTCTCATTGCAATAGTGCAATCACAGTGAGGCCACAGACCATATTTTAGTTCTTGCAGACCACTGGTGTCCACGGACCACAAGTTGGGAACCACTGCTCTAGGAAAACCTGAAATGCATAAAATAGGTTCTGCACCTGCTTTCCTCAATGGACATGTGTTCACTCAGATTCCAAGAACATTGAGGTCAAAAGCCTCTTATTTGCATCCATAAGTCAGCTACTGTGGTAACGTGTACTGGGAAGTCAATTATCGTAGCAGGCAGGGATGTTTACCTTGTTGGGATATAACGACTCCCTCTACTTCCCTGTACACCTGACAGCTATACATATCCCAACAGCACACATAGAATCTGATTGAACAGTAATGAGGAGCCACTCACCCTGCAGCATATCAGGTTTCCCCTGGCATGCTGAGGCCAGTTGTTTTGAATCCTACTAGGGAAGTGTAAGGAGAAAGGAATTCCTATCCAATCATTTCCTACTAAAAGAGAAACTCTGCACATGATAATGTCAGGACCTTTATTGTACAACACTCAAGATTAAAGACATCCCAAAAGGGTGTCTTTAACCTTAACCCAGCTTGAAAGACTAAGCAGCTGAAGTTTATGCAATCAAAAAAAAAAATACAATTGTATAGCCACTGGTTGTTTTTCCAAAGAGAGCATTATATCTTGCTCCAGCTATTTCAAACTACACATGAATGTTAGTAAAATTAATTTCCACCAACCCTGGTCATGGATGTTGTTCTTACTATCGATCTCCATTGCTTCTTTGGCTTCCCCAATTCATATTCATCATCATCCAGATCCTGAAAAGAAAGGAAAATGAATATCATTCCAATAATGAAAATTAAGTAAGTGAACTAGAAATGCTTGCATATTTCTATGTCCCTCTGGGCATGCTTAAGGAGTGGGTTTTGTACTTTTACAACTCAGTTCACTAGTCTCCTGTTTTTGTAATACATCAAGTAGAGAAGTAACTTAATGAGTCACCAAAGCCCCACAACAGTGGGAAGTGTGTGCGTGTATATAAAATGTCAGTATACAGTTCAGCAGCTTTAAGGAAGTTCCATTACAGGCAGGCAGTCTGTTCTTCTTCATGATTGTTTTTCCATTCTTACTTATGAAAATAATGTCTCAGAAGCTAGACACATAGCCAACAGTATCAAAAGTCACCGGAAGGTCCAGCAGCATCAACAGGGAAATACTCTTCCTGTCCAGTTCAAGACTATGTAACAAAATTTGAAAAAAATCTGCTCCTAGTTTGAAAGTATTATTTCCAGTGTAATTGTATGGTACTTACTTTGAAAGTTATACTCCAGAAATGTCATTTTGTGGCTGCCACAAACTACATTGAATTGATTGAGAGTCAATGACATATTCATTGAAAAACTATAGCAAAATGTGCTATAGGATGTCCCACAAAAACAAAGTTTTTGCGGTTTAATTTTTTTCATGTTTTTATGATAGAACCAATTAGGAAATGTCCTTTACAATCCATGAGCAAAAATCAAGTTACCATACATACAATCAAAGCTGTATTCAACTCATGTGGCTAAAGTAAAATTGAAATTGAAATGAATCCAGATACCCATTCCATTGAGGAATGTTTGGAACTAAGAGGATGCCAAATACACCTGAACCTTGCCCGTATAAACCTCGGCCTGTATAATCACACCCAGTAACATCACTGGGTTCTTGGTCAAAACATGATATGGAGTTTGTACATCTGGCACTTTCACCTGGACTCAAATTCTGCTGCCACTTCCCTGCACCGGAAGAATATGGCATTCTCAAATTGAATTTCCAGGTGCCAATTGAGTGACACCCTTTAGAAGAATGAACAAAATGGGAATTTCTGCTACCTCCGACCCCTGATTAGAAATGTATAGGGAATCCTCTTCAACTGCCTAGAGAAGCTGTGGTTCCAGCCATAGTAAAGGTTTTCCCCTGTCATTAAGTCTAGTTGTGTCGGACTCTAGAGGGTGGTGCTCATCTCCATTTCTAAGTGGAAGAGCCAGTGTTGTCTGTAGACATCTCCAAAGTCATGTGGCTAGCATGACTGCATGGTTCCAGCCATACCAGCTCTAAAAGAAGCCCTTGCTCCTGTTTGATCCCTCACTGCTGCTCTAAATGTCAAGGTGATCATTTAACTTTTGGCAACTCCTTAGCATCAAATGTTTAGTTCATTTTCCATTTCAGATGTCCATCACAGCTTTTCTACTCCTTCACAAGCCACCAAAATTATTTGAATCCATTAGACTCTTAGGCAGGGGCAATTTTTCCACCAGGAAGGGTGAGGCAACTGCTTCAGGTGGTAAAGGACATTGATTAATTGCCAATGTTAAGGTGAAATTAATAGCCAACTCTATTAACTTTTGTAAATAGAACAGAGGTGGCATCTTGTTTAACTGATTCAGGCAGCAATGTGTCCTGCATGAGATTATGCATTCTATTTTTAAGCCACTTTAAATGCTTTTTTCAAATATGCTATTTGACACAGCAAATAAATGTTTTAAATAAATGAATAAAATAACCACTCAACAATAGTCACATTTGTGACCTTATATCTCCCTTGAGTCCCCACAAGGAGAAAGGTGGGGGTATAAATAATAATAATAATAATAATAATAATAATAATAATCAGCTGTTATCAGGACCTCAAAATCAAACTGCAAAGTCTCTGGCATAAACCAGTACAGGTGGTCCCAGTGGTCATTGGCACACTCAGTGCCATGCCAAAAGATTTCAGTCGGCATTTGGAAACAATAAACATTGACAAAATCACAATATGTCAACTGCAAAAGGCCATCTTAATTGGATCTGTATGCATCATTCGAAAATACATCACACAGTCCTAGATGCTTGAGAAGTGTTGGACTTGTGATTTCGTGATATGAAATCCAGCATATAGATCTCAATTTCTGTTATTTTATTTATTTATTTAATTTCATATCAAAACTATTACATAAATTAGTATAAAACCGATAAAAATAGGAGGAGCTCAGATGGCTAAATATCTTTTGACCGAAAATGGGCAACACCAATGGTATTGTCTGTGACATACTGTGTTATCTGGACAAAAGTGTATAGTAATAGTTTCCATGATACCTGTCCCTGAACAGCATCATCACTGGCTTCTTGTTCTGAAGAGAAGCTTTCATATTCCTCTTCAGAATAGTTGTCTGCAAGAGACAGACACAGAAGTAATTGAATCACTTTTATTGAACAATAACCACCCACTTCCCAAGACTTCAAATATAGAATTAAAATAAACAATGAAAAGCAATCAGAAAGCCTATATGCTACAACAAAATGATCCTAAAGTAGGTATTTCTGAACCTCCCAGTTCACCAAGGAGGTAATCAATGAATTCCTTGTGTAAAATTATTCCTACCACTATATTTTATATACACCTTCAATACAGGTGGCTCTTTACACACCGATCTGTGAGTATAAAGAACATAATCATTTAAAATACTAATTTGAATAAGTCATCTTTAATACTATTCCCCTTCCCAAGAAGTAATGAAGTTTGCAAAGCTTTATACCGTCTCAAAAAATGTAGGATATTCCCCACCAAGTTTTGCAATTGAACAGAACGTTTCTGTTTTTACTACTTATTGAAAATACACAGAAAATATTTAGCGAACTGTTTCCTTATCTTACTTAAATTGTATTCAGAAAGCAATAGAAGAGATAGCCAGCAGGGTTTTTCAAAGTCTTTTTAAAACCTGTTTGTTTGTTTTTTAATTTTCAAAACTCATGCTTTACAGACCACCACTATTTTTTTTCCATTGGGCATGGCAAGTCCAGCCATATGGCTCTTGCTTCTCAACCCCTCCCCCCTGGTTTACCAGCAAGTTGTCTTTCTTCAAGTGTGCCCAAAACTAGGTGACTAGTGGCCTCCATACAGTCAAGGTTGTTCACAATTGTATGAGACAATGACTGAGATTACTTTGTCCAGTAATGATTTAATAATTGTTAATCCAACAGGTACTTGCCTTTTTCAAGGAGATTATCTATTATGTCTCACCGCTATGCTTATTTCAGATGTTTGGTGTTAAAACTCTACAAATGTTCTGAAAATCCTCTACAACAACACATGTCTAGTAAAAATAACAAAATCCATCAGAATAGAAGTTGTCCTCCATCTTCCCAACTCATCTTCCAATGCCCCTACACTTACTAATTCTGTAATTTGGATAGACTAGGTTCTCTCCCTTGCTCCCCCCGACTTGATTCCTGCTATAACTGTTGTTGTTATGTGCCTCTGACATTTGACAATCCTATCTTAGGGTTTTTGTGGCAAAATATATTCAGAGGAGTTTTGCCATTTCTGGCAGAGAGAGAATGATTTGACTAAGGTCACCCATGAGGTTTCAAGGGCTGAATAAGTCACCAAGGATTCTAGTCTGACACCAAACTACTACACCATGATGGCTTTCTGTTCCCGCTATTACAACTGCAAGTATTAATTTAAGTGTTTAAGGCTCAGTTTAAAGGATTTCATTGGCCTCCTCTGTGGTGTTTTCCAATCTTTATCCCACCATTCTGCCTCCAAATGTGGGGGTTTCCTTGTAGAAATCCTTCTTTTGTTACCAATTGTGATCACCCTTTCAGGGTCCTTCCACAAAGCCACGTAACCCAGACTATCAAGGGGAAAAAAATCCCACAATATCTGCTTTGAACTGGGTTATCTAAGTCCACACTGCCATATATTCCAGTTCAAGCAGACAATGTGGGATTTTATTCAGCTCTGTGGAAGGGGCCTCAGAGAGCTTCTCCTGTCCCCATCCCTTCCCTTATGTGATACCAGTTGTGGAGACTGTCTAAATGCCCTCAAGACTCTTCATAGGGGGAGAGTATACAACTATGAGAAGCTATACACCTTCTATCCACTCTGGATGCAACCACTCTCCTTGTTCAACTCAGGGTTTCCTTGACTGAGGCCTCTTCAACACTGTCATATAATCCAGATTATCAAATCAGATAATACACATTATTTGATTTGAACTGGATTATATGAGTCTACACTGTCATATAATCCAGTTCAAAGCAGACAATCTAGAGTTTATAAGGCAGTGTAGAAGGGGCCTAAGACAAAGGTGATAAAGCAGAAGAGGGCCAGAATAGGAGGGGCAGAATAGGATCCTGAAAAATCCCACAGATAGCATCCCAGCACAATTCAACAGATTGTTCCTGAGGTTTTCTCACCACCTCATAATTATTTGGAAAGATATGCAGAAAACAGAATATGAATATTGAAGTGTTCTAAAGTTACCTGTAGTCTTAGTTTTCTGGCTCAGATGTACTGCACTATCCTCTTGGTCGATTGGCTGACTGGACAATGAAAAAATCCATAGTTCTGCTATTTTGACTGTCATTTCCTTGAAGCTGCTGAAAAGACTCAAAACCTGGCCTCCTTCTGTTGGGTGTTGTAATACCTAGAATGGGAGACATACACATGCACTCCAATCAAATCATGTGTGTCAAAATACAATTTCTTATGCACTTTATAGTGAAGTAATTCAAACAAACATCCCCTTTCTGATAGCAAGAGTGCTTGGCTCCCTTCCTTTGCCAAAGTAATTATTAATTATAGGAAATTATCAAGCAGCTCTTTCATGTTCACAGCATTCCAGTCTACAATTTACAGCCATGCAATCAACATAAGTGGTTTACAACATCCATGCGCTATTCAAAGCCTTTGATCAACATTCATTCAGCTCACTCCTTGCCCTCTCTGAAGCAGATTGGCACTGAACAAAAGAGGAAATGAGATGAAATTGATGTACCCTGGGGAGGTGCACAATGTAGGAAAAGGGTGCAAATATCTCTATAACTGTCTAAATTTGGGGACAGAAGTGTCTCTTTCGGGGAAAATATATTGGGAATACAGACCTGCACCTTTGGCACTAGCCTCATACCCATAACAGCCAAATGGAGAATACTGCCTGGCCGAGAGTGGGAAGCTTACTGATCCCTACTCATCTCAAAGCTTTTGTGACCCGAATACATGACAAGCAGAGAGAGCACAAAGCACAGAGCACAGTTGCATTTCCAACTTCAGGAGGCCTACTTTTCATGCAAGATGACATGCTAAATACCCGAAAACCTTCTTACTGTACATACTCATGTTAACGAATCCTCTGCTATTGATTATTCTTTTTACAAATGCTTTTGGGCATACCTGGATTGAGGTGGGCTCCTTCTTATTCTGTAGAAAGGAAATCTATCCCGGTGGTGCAAGCCCAAGCAATCCACCCATTGGGTTTACAGCTGTATTCCTGAATCAGCTGCCCATATTTATTTATTTATTTATTTATTTATTGAGAAAGAAAAATAATAACATATTTGAACAGATAATACTTGTCTATTGTAGGCATACATTATAGTGACATATTTCAATATTATCTATTCGCATTCTTTACAAGTTTATTCATATTACATTTTTATTATTATTATTTTCTTCTTTCTTTTTTTTCCTCCCCCCTCCTCCCACCCCCCTTTCCTACCCCTCCCACCACATTTCTCTCTATATCTTTATTTTTAACCACGCACACAACTTTTGCAATCTTTGTACAATTTCTATGCTGGCTTCACCTTCTTCTACCCATTTCATATATGTTGCCCATTTCTCTTTAATTTCTTCTGTTTTATCCTCCTGTGAGTCTTCTTGGGTTATACATTCAATAATATCTGATTGAACTTGTTCAAATAAATAATTATTCCAATTTTCCAAATTCCATTTTTTTTCATCTCTCCACCCCCAGGCTATTACTGCCTTACCTGCTAAAATCATTGCTTTAAATAAGTTTTGGTTCTTCGCATCAATATTTTTATTCCCTGTAATTGCCATTAACATAAATTCCATATTGGCTTGTATTGTTATTTTGAAAAGTTTCCCAATTTTTCTAGTTATCTTATTCCAAAACGTTTTTGCATTTAAACAGTCCCACCACATATGTGCATACCAGCCTTTCTCTGCTTTACAGTGCCAACACATTGGACTTAATCCTGTTCCCATATTTGCTAATTGAGCTGGTGTCCTGTACCATTTCCAGATAAATTTCCTTTCTAATTCTTTATATTTTTCCATTTTGATTTTATTTATCCCTTTCTTTAATTCCTCAATAGTTTGTTTTGTGAGAGTCCCCTCCTTCTGCCACTTATTTTGTAATGTTCTGACTACGTATTCATCGTCCTTTATCATTGTTTTGTATAATTCTCCTACTAAACCTTTCATTGTCTTCTGTCCTTTCTTAAATATATTTTCAAGCGCACTTTCCTTGTCTAGACATTCTCCATATTTCCCCTGTTTAAGTTTGTTATATAGGCCTAGTACTTTTATCCAGTTTTTATTTCCCATTTTTTCTATTATCCTGTCCATGGGAATCAGTTGACCATTTATATCATACATATCTTTAATGCAGTAGTAGCCTTTATCTTTCAAATCTTCCCACCATATAGGGCCAAACTCTTTTCCATATAAGCTTTCTAGTGGTGTCCACTTTACTATATTAGACATCCAAATTGGTTTCCATTTTTTCCATATTTTTAATGCTAATCTTCTAGGACCTCTTGTTTTTTTAATTGAAGCCTCTAAATTTTCTGTAAAAATCCCAAATTTTCCTTCTCCATTGTTTACTGCATCTTCTATTCTGCACCATTTTTTTTCTTCTCTCTCTACTCTCTACTCTACTCTCTATTTATTTATTTATTTAATATATATCTCGCCTTTCTCTACCCGGAGGGGGACTCAAGGTGGCTTACAATTGCACCTCCATGGTGCTTTAAAATACACAAAAAACAGTTAAAAGCAAATTAAGCATAAAAGTATAGTTTAACATATATTCAGTAAATCATGTCATCCAGCATCAGAGTCTAATACCATTCCGAATTCAAATACACATTTCCATATTAAACATTCCTGTGGTGCTCTATCTTAAAAATGCCTGCTCTAAGAGCCAAGTTTGACTCTTTTTCTAAACACCAGGGGCTGTCCCGATATTAGACTGAGGGTTAATGCCTGTTAATTATTTTCTCACACGTGAGGACAACTTAAATGGACTTAAGTCTTATTTTGGAGAGTGCACAGAAGCCTATTTACATTTGCTTTTGCATGCCATCCAAATCCTTCATACTGTTCAGCAACTGCCAAGCTCCAGAGCAGTAATTTCCAACCTTTGGTCCTCCAGGTGTTTTGGACTTCAGCTCTCACAATTCCTAGCAGATGGGAGTTAAAATCCAAAATACCTGGAGGACTAAAAGTTGGGGACCATTGTTCCAAAGGGTGGTGGTTGTTGTTGTTCATTCGTCTCCGACTCTTCGTGACCTCACGGACCAGCCCACGCCAGAGCTCCCTGTCGGCCATCACCACCCTCAGCTCCTTCAAGGTCAACCAAAGAGTGGTGGAGACAGGTAAATCAGATTACAAATATCTGGCTGCTCTGAGATTCCAGGGGAAGGAAAAGGATGGCCCCCGCCTTTCTCTCCTTTAATAAACTCTTGAAAATGCACCTATGCACTTTAGCATATGGAGAGGAGGAGGACTAGGACACTTTAAATTAATTCCATCAGAACACTGGCTAACTTATTTCTACCCCATGGCTGCTATGATACATTTTAAGTGAACACCTGTGATAGACTTCGAATGTTCTTTAATTCTCTTATAGGGCTATGTCTTAAAGTTATTTCATGTTATTAGTGCTATTATGTCTCATTGGATTAATTTTATTCTGATTTCATTTTAAGCCTTCGACAATACATTCATTTTAATGCTTAATTATTTTGTTATAAGTTTATTGTTATTATTGTGCAATACTCTGTATTTTTGTGTTTTTTTACTTATTTAGGGTATTGAACGTTTGGCTTTTTTGTGTGTAAACTGCCACAAGTCCCTTTGGAGAGAGAAGGAAGTCTAGAAATAGTTTTATTATTACATTATATCATTATAGTTAGGCTCCAATTTGTATCACAAGAATATATTAATCTTACAGCATTAGTTCAAAATAAAATTAATCATTTCTAGAGATGTAAGAAATTAATTCCACCACCTCCCAGTGTTTTCAATTTCTTTCAAACACTTACCTCCACCATGTTGATAGATCCTACTGCCAAAGTTTTGTAGCCAAGAATTGTTCTGTTTTTGTACCGTTTCCTCCTCTGCAGCATGACTTGAAGTTTATTGCCTTCTCTTTTCAAGAAATGGGGATACTGCAGTTGAAACATTTCAATATTGTACTACCATGTACATAGAAAATAATATATTCTGTACATTTTCTAAGCACATCAGCATAACAGAAACCAGGGCAATTCCATCCAACCTCCCTTGTGGGCTGCACCCCTCCCAAACATGGAGAGCAATTTCACAGTTATAGTCCTCTCTGGACTATTTTAGGCTCAGGAGAAGCCTTCTCTCCAGCAAAAAAAAAAAATGACATCTGTATCATTGAGTTTGAAAAAGAGTTTAAAATGACCTCTCTGGAGAAACAAAAAAACTATCTCCCAGAATCTCATGAACTGTTTTGGGATGTTTGGGCCATTTTGGAACCAAAGTATAAGTGCTGGGTGCAGGACACAGTTCTTACTTTCTCTTATTCATATGATTTCTCACTCTTGTTTTTATTACAAAGGAGTTATGAGCCCTGAGTGAAGTTAAAATAAATACACATACAGACACATAAAAGCCTATTAGATAATTCTGCCCAAAACCGTACATAGGCATCTCTACAGTAAAAAGCAAGCAAGTAAAAGTATTTCTTACATTACCTGTAAAGAAAATGTGAGTGCAAGTTCTGTTTCTATGCGACCACCAGGGTGCAGCATAATTTCATGAGAACGCAATATTCTCTTTGAGCCCTGCACAGAAAATGGTTACAAATATGCTCACATGCTTCAATAGATTAATGCACAAATTGAGTTACCAGATCATCAATTGATTTCCCTTGGTGAAAATGTTCCCTCCAATGCACATCTCCTTTAATGCGTTTAACAGATTGTGTTGGAAATGCAGCTCTACACACAATACATCTTTTTCCTTAGAAAAGTCACATAAAGCAGGTTCTATCACATATAGTAATATATATACAAAGATGTAGATAACAGAGTATACGATCAAGAGGATTCCTTCCTTTGGTTTTTTCAGAGACATTCAAACTGGGATTCTATTGCAGTTATAACTGCAAAAAGCTCTGATACATCTTCATGTTTGCCTAGCCCTTTAAGAAAAAGCAAGTGAAACTTTCAATATCAGCTACCTAAAAATGAGTTTGATGACTCAAAAGTCTCTGCATATTTTTCATTTGTTTCAGCTCAAGCTTACACCCAAACCTCTCTTTTGTATAGGAGACTCAGTGGCGCAATGGGTTAAACCCTTGTGTAGCTGAACTGCTGACCTGAAGGTTGGCAGTTCTAATCTGTGAGACAGGGTGAGTTCCCATCTGTCAGCTTCAGTTCCTGCCAACCTAGCAGTTTGAAAACATGTAAATGTGAGTAGATAAATAGGTACCGCTTAGGTGGGAAAAGGCAAAGAGGCACTCCAAACAATCTTGCCAGTCACACAAGCAGGAGGTGACAACGCAGGATCCTCAGCTTGAAAATGGAGAAAGCACCTCCCCAGAGCCAGAGATGAGCACCGCCTCTAGAAGCCAAAAAATGAATGGAGAAGCCTCTGCCTATGTTTGTGTGTCTCATCGTATATGATTGTAAAGGCATTGAATGTTTGTTTATGTATGTAAATGTTGTAATCCACTCTGAGTCCCCTAGGGGAGATGGGCAGAATATAAATAAAGTGTATTATTATTATTATTGTGCCTTTAGGATTGCCCCCACCTTTGCCATTAACAAAAAACGTTCATTTCTAAGTTTCTTATACACTGATTAGTACCATATTTTGATTACATTAAGCCCATTTCATATTACCTGCATTTTGACTGCAATTATGACAGAAATTGGATCCTTATCCACTTCTCTCAATACTACCAGTTTCTTCAAAGTCAAGCTGCATAACCTGCAAATTAAAGCAAATATTCTGCATTCAGTTATTCTGAAACTGACCTACTCCAAATTGTTTTTTTCCTATCTTACAAGATTTCACTTCTGATCTGTGAACATTCGCCTTTAGTGTCACTTCCTTGATGTGAAAATAAGGACTTTAGAGAATCCCTCTAGAGGAGATTTTAGAGAAACGAGCTCTCCAAAAGATTACATAGAATACCTTGCAATAGGGGAAAAAACAGAATTATTAATTTTTTATTCCTTGACTTTTCCACTGTACTCAAAAGACACTTGGTTTGGTTACCTCAATGCCCCCTAAAAACTTTTGTGATATTATTATAAAAAGAAACAAACAAATAAACATGATAGCACATAAGAACAAAATATAGAATTGTTGTTTAATAGCAGTTTTAGGATTGGATTGCTGTGAGTTTTCCAGGCTGTATGGCCATATTCCAGAAACATTCTCTCCTGACGTTTCGCCCACATCTATGGCAGGCATCTTCAGAGGTTGTGAGGTCTGTTGGAAACTAGGCAAGTGGGGTTTATATATCTGTGGAATGTCCAGGGTGGGAGAAAGAACTCTTGTCTGTTTGAGGCAAGTGTGAATGTTGCAATTGGACACTTTGATTAGAACTGAATAGCCTGGCAGCTTCAAAGCCTGGCTGATTACTCCCCCAAAATCTGAGATACTAATGATTTGTGGTACCCTCATTAACTCTATGACTGGACTGACCTTGAAGGAGCTGGGGGTGGTGACGGCCGACAGAGAGCTCTGGCGTGGGCTGGTCCATGAGGTCACGAAGAGTCGGAGACGACTGAACTAATGAACAAAAACAACATTAACTCTATAGTTGAATGTGCATTTGGCCTGTGTCCCTTTCCTACCCCATCCTAATAAACACCAACTCCTTTGTTACAGTGGTTCCTGAATATGGACTTCACTCTGCAGAAACAGGATAACATCTGGATTACAGGGATAAATTTGCCACTGACTTTGGGAGAGAGGGTTATTCAACCTAAATTGGAAACTGCTAGTTTCACTACAATGCAAGAAGTCCATACATGTGTTACATGCCTGATCAGTTGTAACCAATATTAGTAGTCATCCTACAGAACTGCTGAGAGTTGTGAAAGCTCCTTGAGATTCTACTAGGATTTTTTATTATTATTATTTGCTTAGACTGCCAGTACTTTTGCTTCCTGGCAAGCCTCTCTTTATTAACATTTATAAAACTGAAGATGTAAATGGATGATATAATGCACTTCTACAGAATTTTAAAGGTTTGAAATTCTCTACCTTTGGAGGTCAAATCATGTCTTCAACTACTTCCAAAATTACACCTGGAAAGCACCCAGAGCAGTCATCAGCAACACTTGATCATTGGGTTCCTGTTAGATCCACTGTAAAGATGCAGATCTCAGCTGGGACGTCTTGAAAATGCTCCCAACACAACAGCCTAAAAAGCCCTTATAAGATAGGTCTAATTGCCATTTTAGCATCACATCAAGCCCCTCAATTTGACATCATTTTGAGGAATGGTGGGAAAGTAAAAAGGCAAACAACCATAAAGAAGAACAATACAAACTGTGTCCCTACCTGAAGGACACAATTTGAGAGAATAGCAAATCCTATTTTCAATGTGAAGAATGATTATTGTACCTAGAAGAGAGTGTAAGTTGTACAGGAGGCACTGCATTCAAAAGCAAAACTGTTCATAAGTGAAACTGCATATTTAGGTTCTGCAGATAAGTGAGTTGTACTATAAGTAGTGCTTCCTCCACTGGCATCTGAAGCTGATAAAGCCCATTAAAATAGAGGAGGCCCATCAAAGGATCTCTGAGATAATGGAACCAATGCCAAAAGTACCCCCCCCCCCCCCCACACACACACACACACACACACACCAGCCCTTGGGGATAGGACGAGGCAATGACAACATATCACAATTTAAGTCTATGCCATGCCACAATGACAGGCATTTTCAAAAATCACTATTTCTTTATTGCTCCAAGGTTAAATTTTAGGAGTATGCTTTGTGCAATGAATTGCTAAGATGATGTTAGCTGCCAAATGTGCAAATGGGAGAGGCTTGCTGAACTACACTTCAATCTCCGATTCTCCTCTATCGCCTCCTACTATCTAGCTGCAGGCCACATTTTGGGACTAAAACAGTCTGGCAATTTTACAGAATGGCTTGGTCTTGAGGAAACACGAGAGGAACAACACTCAACCATCTTCCCTAAAATGTATCAGCAACTTTTAATACCTTAAATCTATACTACCTTCTTATGTAAACCTAAAGAGTGGGAAAGACATCAAGTTACAATGGTTCTGGTCCAACCTTCTACATCTGTTAGAGAAAGTGACACTGGATCATTTCTATTAAGCTGTGAGATGTCACAATAATCAATGCTATCTGAAATCAATGGGGAAGGTTAACAAGAGCTGAGAGTTATCAATTTGTTGACAAATTCCCTAACCCAGTGGTTCTCAACCTGGGATCCCCAGATGTTTTTGGCCTTCAACTCCCAGAAATCCTAACAGCTGGTAAATTGGCTGGGATTTCTGGGAGTTGTAGGCCAAAAACATCAGGGGACCCCAGGTTGAACCACTGCCCTAGCCCACGAGGGAGGTGCTCTTCATATATTAATTTTACTAGGGGCATTGTTAGCCAAAATAGGTGCATGCTGCTCATGATTCAGCACCAGTGGAAGCTCTTGTCATGTTGCCAATCTAATATCAATACTTTGCAGATGTCTTTGATAAAAAGGAGGATGACCAGCTCCTGCCCCATACACTAACCAAATAAGGCTGTGCAGTCAACCTGGGACCCAGTTCCAACAAGTCACATTTCTTTCCAATCCCTCTGTAGCATCCTGGAAAAAACCTGCATCACAACTTCAATCTCTCTGATGAAGTCCCTGTCTTTTTGCAAAATAGAAATACAAATAAAAATAAATAATAGAAATACAAATTAAACAGTGTATTTTAATATTGAGACAAATGTTTTAATGTTTATGTATGCATATAATGAATAAAATAAATAAATAAATAAATAATAGAAATACAAATTAGACAGTGTATTTTTATATTGAGACAAATTTTTTAATGTTTATGCATGCAATTAATTCATGTCCCGGCGTTGAATGTTTGCTGTATATATGCTGTGCTCCGCCTCGAGTCCCCTTCAGGGTGAGAAGGATGGAATATAAATTGTTTAAATAAATAAATAAATTGCTTTATCTCTGCAACAATTACAGAGCCTTCAACCAAATCACCATACGGAACTGGTACCCACATGGACTGTAGTTTTTGTAACAAGTTACAAGCCTGGGTAACTCAGTAGACATCTTGAAGCACTTAGGGCATAAGGGCGAAATGCTGATGTCAAGAAGTGTGTCAACTAACATGTGGTATCCACCAGCATACCAAGTTATTTATATTTCAAAAGTACCTTTAAAAAGTCAAAAACAACCCAGCCAAATCAACCAGTTTACACCTCACATTCATGATCTATGCCTTTTTCAAAAGAAGGGGCATCCAGCTATCCCTAGACCTGGATGGACTAGACCTAGACCTAGCCCCCTCGATGGACTGTCACCTTGTCGTGGTGAGGGGGCTTGCGTGTTCTGATGAACCTGTAGGCACAACAACTGGAGTCGTGCACTCCCAGGAGTGGCCACGGGGGAGGTTCCAGACCAAGCACAGTCCGAAGACCCAAAGACCTCAACGGCGGAGCAGGCGGAGGATAACATGGTACATGTTACAACGGCTGTGAAGGTGGAAGAAGGCTGCAACAGACTGAGAAGCCACGGTCATTGTGTTAAACTACACCACCAGTGGAACCTCACTCTGTGAAGACTGTGTGTTGATCAGTTGTGCACTGACCTCCACACATTAAAAAAACTCACGCACAGGCGTCTTCCAAAGAAAATAAAGACAAACCAACCAAAGTCCCATGGCGATCAGCGAGTGGCGACGGGGGCAGGACTGTGAAATCTGGAAGCCCCTAGTCACAGACTGGCACATGGGTGGTGGGTACGGACTCAGTCGTTCTACCTCAAGGTCCGAGGCAGTTGAGTAGTTCGGCAGCTGTATCCATGACTGAGCAGCCCTTTTTAGGACCCACTCTGCTCACCCCACATGGGGAGGGGGCTAGAAAAGGTGCCCTAAACATAGTCTGCCTCTCTTATCCCTGACTGGACTGCTGCGTCCAGTGGGGTCACCACCCTGCGGCCAAAAAAGAAAAATGAACTTTGGTACATGGAATGTACGGACACTGATGGACAACACTGACAGTGAGTGTCCCGAACGCAGAACTGCCATCATTGCAAGGGAGCTGGGACGCTTTAACATCGACATAGCAGTCCTTCAGGAGACCCAGAGAGCAGGAGAGGGACAGCTGAAGGAAGACAAAGGAGGCTACACCTTCTTCTGGAAGGGACTGCCCGAAGAAGACCAAAGAATGCACGGAGTTGGCTTTGCTATCAGAAATGATCTGGTGAAACATCTGACCGAAGCACCCACTGGCATCAATGAACGACTCTCAACCCTCCGAATTGATCTTGCCAAAAACCAACGAGCAACCATCATAAGTGCCTATGCACCAACTCTAGATGCTGATGAAGACATCAAGGAGAAATTCTACTGTCAGAAATTCTAGTGTCTGGGCAATAACACCTTTTAGAAGAAGCACATGAAAGAAGGAAGAAACAAACACAAGTCTAGAAACTTCAAGAAACAAAAGTATGGAATAGGTAAATAAGGGATTACAAAGAATAAAAGAAAATACAAGAAGTTGCAAGTTGTAAACTACAGAAAGAGGTAATGAAAGTAACCATATGCTTTCCTTTATTAATGTGATTTACCCCGCATTTATTTATGGCAGTAACTGCAAAAACAAGAAGCATACATTTTGAGGTCAAGAATCAGACCATATTGTCCACATATGTCAAATCAGGGAAGGGAGATAGAATATGCTCGTTACAGCTGAAACACTTAGTAAACAG